TTGGGGCTTGGGTGCCTAAATCCCACACTGGGTATGGAGAATGTTTAGGGGAATTTGATCCTTTTTTAGCAAGGGATGATAAATAAGAACCCTGCTTAGGATGATGTGAACGGAAAATTAAAAAGAAGCCTAGAAGTTAGAGCACTAGCAGGGCCATGAAGAGTCAGGTGCAAGCCCTCACGAAGAGTCCTACCTCTGAGCTCTAATGGCTCCATCTCTTTTTGGCAATAAGTCCGCGAGTCAGATATGACTTGAACCCGGGTGTCCATAGCATCTAGCACTGATATCCTAAGTGTGGCTTTTTCTCCCTGTATGACTTTTTTTTTTTTCAAAAGTCTGTGCTTTACCTCTGGGTGGAATCTCAAGAAAACATGGAAAAGCCATTTTTTGTTCTCCAGTCAGCATTTGCCCCTTGTGACCTATTATAGAAGTCGCTATACCATTTTCTGGGTGTCCAGGCTCATTGGCAATTTTTGAGTGTTTCCACAGTGTCATCTTCGTAAAGACGAGTTTTGTAGAACAGCTTACAGGTGTTTTCAGTTAAGTATTTCAGCTAATGCTAAATTAGGATCTGTTCACATGGAATCAACTGCACAGTCTTTCAGTTGTACAGGCAGGCTGTCAAGCAGAGGCTTTCATTTGGCTGCCTCACCAGAGCTTACAATAAATAAACAAACTTACTAACAAAGGCTTGAACAGCACAGCCACCTGACCCATAACTGCGGCTGGATGGGGGACAGGGGCCTGTGTTTTCGACACAGGATCCTAGTAGTCAGAAGGAGATAAAGGTTTCCTCAAGGAGGAACTGGAGCAGAGAAGAAGGAGCAGAAGACACTGTCCTAATAGTGAGGAATATGAGACCCTCGAGACTGTTGGGCCTGCGGTCTAATGCAGGTCATCCTGAAAGTGTTGTAAAGAGCGGCACCGCAGGCAAAGAGCTGGGGAACGGAGCAGACAAGTGGCAGCCATGGCTTGCCGCTCATCTTGAAGCTCCAGAGCTCAGGTTATGGGCGCTGAGCTCAAGCAGGGGGAGGAAAAGACTGTCTTCCCCATGCCCTTCTTTTCCTTCGTTTACTACTGTTGCTTTAGAAACTTGGCCTTACCCTTGTGTGATAATGCTCCTAAAGCACCACCGTCGCCTCTCGGAGTCAAACTGAGCAGTTTCTGGCCGCAAACAAAAGGTGGCTGCCGGGGCTGGCCGAGGGGACCGTTGCTGGTGACCTGGAGCTGTGCCCAAGGGCTCGGAGGGGAGCGGTGTCTTCCAGCCTGAATCCAGCCACAGGGACTAGAGAAGCAGAAAGTTGCCGGCACGTGCACGTGTGCATGGATACACACATGTACATCTGCATATGCATGCATGTATGTGCATACCTGTATATGCATACATCGGATACATCTGGATATGTTTATGCATATATTGCATGTGTGTGTGTACATATTGCATATGCATATTATACGTACGTATAAAAACCTCATGTTTTAAGCAGGCTGGAGTGTGGATAGGGAGGGAGAGGGATGCTGAGAGCCAGAGGGGAGAGTTAAGGAGAGTTGTAGGCAGCAGCCTTAGTCGCCGGCTCAGTGAAAGCCCCAGTCCAGCTTGGGAGCCAGCGGGAACAAACCTGAAATGGTCCAAGAGGACAGGAGCTGTGCGCTGTAAACGGGTCAAAGAATCGTGTAACCCCGCAGCCAAGCAATCCAGGAGGAGATGTGGAAAAGCCAGGCACCTCGGCTGGCTGCGTGGGGAGATAAGCATTGCCCAAGTGTGCCGCAGGGACAGAGTTTGCCTCCTGAGTAAGAGGGAATTAATGAAAAGAACACGGGTGAACGGCAGAGCTGCTGATTTTGCGATGAATGACGTGTATGTCAATGGAAAGTTATTAAGGAAAAAATAAAATTTAGTTCTTTTATTCTGAACAACTGTTAAATTCGTGCTCTCTTTTGTTAAACCCATTTACTAACTTCCTGTAGGTATGAATTGGGAGCAGCTTTGTTCATTGGATGGGCTGGAGCTTCACTCTGCATAATCGGTGGCAGTATATTCTGCTTCTCAATAGCTGAAAACAGTAATTCTCCAAGGTAAAACACAAGTTGTACTTACTGAAAGAAATCAATACTGGCGCATTTGTACCCGCTACATGTATGTGGCTTGATTACTTTTCCAAAACACTTTATAGCGAGGTTCAGAAAAGGATTGTGTGGATGAAAGAAAATAATGGGATTTAAGGATAATGCTCTGTCTATCATGAATGTCATTAAGAAAAGCTATTGACTCAGAACAAATACTTGTGTTATATAAACTTGATAAATTTACTACAGCTGGAAAAAAATCCATTCACTGATGTAGGAAAAGTGGTCAGGTCACTTTGCGGATGTGACAAGTTTATCAGCTCAAAAGTGAGAGAGGTGAAGGACAGGCCCTAATTTACTTGGCTGTGAACGAGAGATACGAGTTTATGTAAGAGTGAATTGCAAAGAGAGATGCTGGAGGGGAAATGTCAAACCAGAATGAGACCACAGAGGCAAGGAAGGTGCCCCCCCCCGCCCCCTCCCCCTCCCCTGAAATCTATAGGTACGTTCCTATACATTTCTTCTAGGTTTATACTGCTGTAATGCTTGGATACAGAGGTGTTACCTGTCTGTGGGATGAGCTGTGAATGGTTGATTCTCTCTTTTCTTTTCAGGAGGGGGTATGCATATAATGGAGCCACATCTGTGATGTCTACTCGTACAAAGGTCCACAACAGCGTCCCAGACAAAACCCCACCAAAGCACTTTGACAAGAACGCTTACGTTTAACGGTACTGTTGGAAGATTCAGAGGGTTTTAAAAATGAGTTTGTACGTTTCATGCAGAGTGATTTCCCCCCACCCCAATGTAATTACCACTAAGACGATGACTTTTTAAAACATTAACTTGCAGCTTTTTACGTATTGATGTAAATTTATTATATAATATTTTAAGATTGATGTTGGTATTGTAAAGTTTATACCTGGAAATCATGAGCTGATGTTGCTTTCTTGAAAAAAATAAACGGTGTATTTACCAACTCAGTATGTCAATTGCTTACGGGAATGGCGTCGCACACATGACACTGACTGCAGTGCATCATTGCAACCGTTTCTAAAATGGGTTCAGTACTGGACAAAACAGCCGTACTCTGTGCAGGTTAACACGTGAAATATCTCACCACTGATTAGCAGTGACGTCGGAATTGCAGAGCACATCGTAACTGCAGCGCCAGACGACGACAGTCAGTGGGAATCAGCAGGCTCTTACCTCCTTATCACATTGCCGGGGTGGACGAACGTGCAACTTGGTCAATTCGGTGCCATAGGAGTAAGAAAAGGAAGAGACTGGGTGAAGTGAAAAGAAGCATGGGATTTGGGGAGGCAGGAGCAGGTGCTAAGAAGAGTCAGGGCCAGTTGTTAAGGAAGCAGTCACTAGAGAGGGTCTTGCATGGCCTAAGAAGAATGCATGCATGAGAAGAAGAATGCACATGTGATCGTGAGCATTCGTGTGCACGGCCGGGAGAGAAAAGGTTGAGGCTGCAGCCTTTGGGGAGTTTTGTGGTGGGCAAGACAAGGCTTGGAGACAGTTCCTACATTCTGCATTTGCTTCGTGCCGCTGGGCTCCTGCCCTGCCTCAGCACTCACCCCTGCTGGTGACAAGTCACTTCCCAGGGGTTGTTTTTGTTCCCTCCCGCTGGGCAGGGCGCTGGGCCACCTTCGGCTCCAGGGCTCCAGAATGGCTCCAAGCCACTGGGTTACGAAAGGGAAGGAAAAACCCCAGGCAATACCAGCTGGCCTGCTCTGCCAATGACATCCCTGAAGGGCTGACCGCATAAAAGCAGGCAATACTTAACAGCACGTTTTAGATAATCCTGAATTACTTACAACAGTTCAAAAATTCAGCTAGCACCTTTTTTTTGGGGCCTGTCCATAGAAATGCGATGGCTGTTGAGGGAATACTTGTACAATGATTCAATAAACGAGATTAGAGATTATGAATAACCACAAAACACTTTCTAGACTGGGACCCTAAAATTAGACACAAACTCAGGTCTGTCTTGAGGTTTGAACTGATGGACCCTTGGAGTATCATTTTGGGACAAAGGTGTAAATGTAAAAAATGAATAGTCCTATTTATTAATGGCACAGTGTGATAGAAAAGGTTTTTGTATCTGATACCATCTAAAATACATCAGAACTACAAAGCCAGTCAAGGTTCTTTTTATTTTACCTTATTTTTGTATTTCATTTAAGTCAAAACACTACCGTGTTTTTTTAAGAAGCCACCCAATATGGACAAAACAGAAATAGGAAAGTACTTGCGCAACAGCAGGTCAGTACTTTTCTCACCTTAGCTTGACGTTTTAATTTCTTTTCCAATTTTTGTGCTTTTATGTTAACTAAGACTCAACTCTAATAGAAAAAAAAAGAGTAACTTCCCAAAATAGGAGGCATTTAATAATAACTAGGTTTAGAGCTGAGGCCTTTTTTTCCTTTTCATTTGGTGTTTATTGTAAACCATGTTAGAAACGTAACATTTTAATATGGAAATATTTTATTTAAAATGTATACAATTTTATATAAAGTTTATGATAAAATACAAGAAAATGTGCATTTAAAAATTGTATAAAGTAATACTCTGGAGTAAATTCTGTTCATTGGTTAACAGGCTTTCTTGCAAGACCAGTTTCAATCTTTAATGTAAACATTCGAGGCAAAATCGTCACCTCAGTGAAATCAAAGAGGCTTTCACCATTGAGTTCACAAGAAGGAAGCATTAACTCTCCATTTCCAAAAAGACATGGCCGGTAACGGGTATGTAAATATTCTTGTTTCAAATTCAGGACTGAAAGACACAAGAGGTCTGTAAACAGTGTTCCTTGTTATTACATGACCAATATGAGAAATGAATAGGAAACACTTGACGTTTTCAACTACATTTTCATCCCCAACAGAACCCGAAAGCAGTGCCTCCCACCAGGAACACAACTATTATATATCTGAAGAATCACTCCAGTCTGTTACAGTGACTAAGCTGCTTTTTAACGTGCTTGTATTATCAGCTTCATGAAGGCCTGTTAAAATAACGAAAAAAATATTAACAATTATTAATAATATTTCAGGGGTATTTTTACTCCGTATTTATCTATGAGATAAAATCACATACTATGTGAGCAAACACCTGTGGACTTAAGGAAGTCCAGAATTTCAACCGGTGAGGAATGACAAGTGTTGATAATATGAAGGCTGTTTCTGTCACAGAATGCAATGCACAGGACAAGCAGGCAGTGTCAACATTACTTTCCCTTTAAAAATAACCTGAAGTATCTTTATATAACTGACACAGCTTTAACCTTTAAGTACATTGAAATGTTAGGGCTCAAAACTACTGTACAAGTTCTATGTAAGATTGAGGCTACTACTTTACCAGTAGCTCAAATATTTATCTCAGCCTGGTAGGTCACTTAGACGTCTTGAACAAATCTGAAATTTGGTTATTATTCTCAAGACAAAGTAAGGAAATTTCCCTCCTCCCTTAAGTTTGGGAAAGGATTAAAAAAAAAAAACCTGGATGATTAATTTTTAAGACGAGGTTGAAGCCTGATAGTACTAAATTTGAGATTTTAAAACATAAGTTTCTTGGCATCTCTGTGTATTTAAGTGTGTGTGTTGTTTACATGTTAAATAGGTAGCATAAATATTATATATGATATTTATATGACATAAAACCAAGCATACAGTTTTCTTACTTGTTCTTTTCTTATAAAATACCATATATTGAACTACAATATGTAATACAGTATACTTAAGTTCTCCTCTAGGTGTATTAGGCGCTTAAGGCTTATAATCAGAAGTATGAATAGGTTACCTTCCTCCTTTGGTACACTTGTCTTCGGAAGACCCCATGCATGTACCACAGATGCAGCATTTGACTCATTTTTCTGAACTGCCAATGCCTTCTGGCCTCTATCATCTTTCATTAATAAAAAGTCATCTTCTACTGATGATATATCCCAATCATCTTCATCAACTTCTGTGAACTAATAGGGAGAAGAAGAAACATGCATTTTTCCTCTGTCTGTTCAAGTTGTGCTGAGATCTTCCATAAACTCAACAATGTGAAACCGCTAAAGAAAAACGCACTGCCACATGGCCTTTATGACATCTATCACCACAGTTTTAAAATCCACATAATTCAATTACCTAAATTATATTAATTCACTATTATAGTTCTAAAGCTAAAAGTGGTTGTGGGGTTTTTTTAAGTCAGGAACTGCAAAAGTTAAAAGTTCTGTTTTTAGGTATTACATGTCTAACTTAAAAAAGGATCGTGTTTTCTGGGATATTAGCTATTCCAGTGAGATGGAAAGTCCTTTAAGCATAAGAATGTATATTACTCACGTGAAAATAAAGACATGACGTTATCATGCAAGTTGGCAGTTTAGTTTGCTATATAAGCATTCTGTATTCGCGCTAGAAAAATTTAATATTGCAATAAAGGCCTTTTCAATTTAAAACTAATTTATTTAAAGAGAAAATTAAATAACGAAAGTTAAAAAACCCACACGGTGCTCAAAGTTAAAATACGTATTCCTCTTAAGACTCACTGTCAGCATGTAAAGGGATATTTTTAATTAAGTGGTGGATTTGCATAATGAGTTCACAAAATGAGAGTCAAGTCAAACAGATGAACCTGAAGGCAACGAGTCCATGGTCTTTCTTCTCTCATCTGCCTGAGAACTAAATATCTTAATTCAGCTTTTGAAAGAAGAGCTACAGCATTTCCCTATTTGTCAATCATCAGATGTGGTTCAATGGAATCGAGCCATTATGAAAGAGCTTAACTGTGGAAAGCGAAAGATGGTTTCTCACAAAGCTAAAACCTTATTTCACTGGAATCTCTCAATGTTACAGTAAGATACAGAAGGTGCTTCTATCACACAGAAGAAAGATTCAGATGCTATTAGAAAACAATGTAAGGTATGTACATACTAGAGAAAAATCAACAAATATGAACGTGTCGTGTGTCTCGAAAGAAGGGAAGAGACCGCAGTAACGCTCTATCTTGCAACATAATTCAATTTTCACATTGCAAACTGTTTTTCAAAAACTGACAGATCTGCTCGGTGTGCTGTATTATTAACATACCAGGATTCAACATTTTGCTGTTTTAAATTATCTGCATTTGGAGGGTGTGGTAATGGGAAAGTCAGAGTCACATATATTGAGAAATGCTGGAGGAAGAGTTTCCTCAAGCATTCACTAAGTCCCAGCTGATTTTTAAAGTACAAAATACAGAGAAAAATGTCAACTTCAAACAGAATTCAGTTTTGATTAAGTGTAAATACACAGCACCAATCAAAACTGCTGAGCAGTTTTATTAATTCAAAGACTTACTCCAAAGAAATACCATAATCCATACAATGTCTGGTACGGGTGAACTCGGGTCATACAGCTTCAGGTAAGCACAAAATCAATTTTCTCTAAAATGTTTCTGAAGTAACTTATGTAAAACATGACCTTCATAAAACATATGACAATGGGATGCCTTACAAAGGTTTTATGGTATTGTGGGTTTTGAGAACAACCATTAGCAGCTATAAGTATTTAAGCTATTAGTATTTAAGCTAATAAAAAAATGTGGATTTTCGGAGAAACCATCATTCCAATGGCATTTTGTGCTTATGTCTTTGGGCGCCTTTGAAAGTCCCACCTAAAATTTAAAGAATTAACTTGAACTATATGCCTACATTTAAACATACAAATATGGACATGAATATATGCACATTCATATAGAATTAGCAAGAATACAAGATGGTGTGCTTTACTGTAAAGATTCCAGAAACAAAGTAGCAACACCTGCCCTGTGTTCATGAACTCATTTCAAACTCATCAGGTCCATATAGCAACACGCCACTATGTTAATACACCAGGGGCACAATGTATTCTAAATGAATCACAGCAAAAATATTTTTCATGGAATGGTTTGGGTTGGAAGGGACCTTTAGAGATCATCTAGTCCAAACCCTCTGCCATGGGCAGGAACATCTTTCACTAGATCAGGTTGCTCAAAGCCCCGTCCAACCTGACCTTGAACACTTCCAATGATGGGCCATCCACAACTTCCCTGGGCAACCTGTTCCAGTGTCTCACCACCCTCATCATAAAAAATTTCCTCCTTATATCCAATCTAAACCTGCTCTCAGTTTAAAACCATTGCCCCCTGTCTTGTCACTACAGGCCTCGGTAAAAAGTCTTTCTCCACCTTTCTTATAAGCCCCCCTTTAAATATTGAAAGGCTGCAATCAGGTCTCCCCAGAGCCTTCTCTCCTCCAGGCTGAACAACCCCAACTCTCTCAGCCTTTCTTCATAGGAGAGGTGTTCCAGCCTTCTGACCATTTTTGTGGCCCTTCTCTGGACCTGCTCTAACAGCTCCACGTCTTTCCTGTACTGAGGACCCCAGAACTGGACGCAGTACTCCAGGTGGGGTCTCACCAGAGCAGAGTAGAGGGGCAGAATCACCTCCCTCGACCTGCTGGCCACACTTCTTTAGATGCGGCCCGGGATACGGTTGTCTTTCTGGGCTGCAATCACACGTTGCCAGCTTATGTCCAATTTTTCATCCACCAGTATCCCCAAGTCCTTCTCCACAGCGCTGCTCTCAATCCATTCATCCCCCAGTCTGTATTGATATTGGGGATTGCCCTGACCCAGGTGCAGGACCTTACACTTGGCCTTGTTGAACCTCATGAACTTGCTGAGGGTGCACTCGATCCCACTATGTCACTAATAAGGATATTGAACAGTACTTGTCCCAGTACAGACCCTTGAGGGACACCACTCATTCCTGGTTTCCACTCGGACATTGAGCCATTGAGTGTAACTCCTTGGATGCGGCCATCCAGCAAGTTCCTTATCCATCTAACAGTCCATCCATTAAACCCATATGTCTCCAATTTAGAGGTAAGAATGTTGCAGGGGACAGCAGCAAATGCCTTACAGTGTCCAGGTAATGACATCCGTAGCTCTTCCCTTGTCCACTGATGTAGTCACTCCATCATAGAAGATTAGTCAGGCACGATTTGCCCTTGGTGAAGCCACATTGGCTGTCTCTAATCACCTCCCTGTCTTCCATATGTTTTGACATATTTTCCAGGAGGCTCAGTTCCACGACCTTACCAGGCACAGAGGTGAGGCTGACTGGTTGGTAGTTCACAGGGTCCTCCTTTATAACCTTTTTAAAAATGGGTTTGATGTTTCCCTTTTTTCAGACAGGGACTTCGCCTGACTGCCATGACTTTTCAAATATGATGGAGAGTGGCTTGGCAACTACATCATCCTTAGGACCCTGGGCGGCATCTTGTCAGGTCCCATGGACTTATGTATGTTCAGATTCCTCTGGTGGTCTCAAACCTGATCTTCTCCCACGATGGGAGGGACTTCATTCCCCCAGTCCCTGCCTTGAGGTTCAGGGGCTTGAGAGATGTGGGAAGAGAGGTTACCACTGAAAACTATGGCATCTTATAGCTTTTAAGGCTTATTTTGCTACAGCTTTTTGCTCTTGAAGCCGAAATTCCTTAAGACAGTGGCCAACCGTCTATAGATCTCTACAAAATGTAACATTCCCTAAATTTAACTGTGAACACTTTATGGTCTTGTATCATTTGGCATTGCAGAGAATTTGAAAGTAACATTTGGACAGAAAATTACACTGTAATAGTCGTGTCTGTTATCTGAGTTGATAATTTTGCATCTGGTGTGATCTGCAGCTCCCACACAGTCAATGGACAAGTTAGGTGTCACCAGTGGCAATTAAAAGCACACAGGCTAAATGTGATTACCCTACCACTACAGCTAAAGTTGATTAAGACAATCACCCCTTTCTGGAAACTGAAATAGAAGTGTCACTGTTTCTGGAAGGAGTGATAAATTTCAGATTTAACTGTTAGTCAGGAAGCCCTACGGTATCAGATTTATTATGGATAACAGCATTGTCAGCAATTATTATTTGTTTATTTAGTGAAAAAATATTTTCTTGAAGGCTAGAACTAGTATCTGGTTGTATACTTCAATCTAATAACAACTACTAAAACTGAAATAAATACCACTATCTGCTTGACTTCTGATTTGGAGTAACTTTTGTTCTTTTTAAAAAATTGTTCCGGCAAAGATCAATTTGCATCAAAGTGGCTTACCAATTTTAAAACTCTAAACTGAGGGGAAGACTGGGACCTTAGGAGCCTGAGGTTTAAGGAGTAACTTGTGTTAGTATTCTGATTGTGAACACATGCCATACTCAATGAACAGACATCAGTGATGTATCTGATGTCGTTTGAAAACAGTGTATGATTGTAAATAGATGCAGCATAGCAAAGACCATACTCAGAAATTGAATTTGTCCCCTCATTAAAATGTATTTAGAAGTTCCATATCAGATAAAGCTCTAGAAATAAAAATATTTTAAAATATTAGATAAGCAAATTATTTTTTTTCTCCATCGAAACAAGATACTAGGAAAGCAAGTAAAGAAGGGCTCTCTCTATGCTGCTAGAATAGGAGGTAAAAATTATACTAATTGTGCCCAAACTTCGGGCTAGCTGTAGTGATCCAAAACAGTCATGGTATAAGCTAATAAGCAGTGTAGATGAAGAGGTCATTTGCCACAGCTCACTTGCTAGCACTTTTCTATATACCAGTGCGGACGTACCCAAGAAGACTACTTAGCTGTAATTCCAAAACTGTCTTTGAGAATTAAGTTCTTCACTTCCTCAAGATGGTTTCAGCATGAAAAAAAAAAGTAATAGATATATATCTAGTTCAATTACTTAATGAAATAATAATGGCTATTAAAAGTGATACCTTCAGTTCTTGCACCTCTTCTTTCTTAATAAATGCCTGCGCAACATTAATCCCTCCAGCTGGTTTGTTCTTATTTCCGTGGTTAGAAAGACTCTTTCCAACTTGTTCGGTCAGTTTTTGAATAACTGCTCCTAAAGTTCATAAAAAATTATATTGACAGTTTCCATTCACAAGGGGCTTTACTGTAAACCCTCTAGAAAGGTTCCACAAAGTAATAATAAGTAAAAGGCTGAGAAAAACTGTTTTAGACAGAAGTCTCTCTGAGGCACAGATTGTATCTTTTTCTGCATTTATATAAAACAGCATGATACACATCTAATTTGAACTGACATCTCTAGGTACTATATTAATATAAACAAATTAGCAAAAACATAAAGCGCACACAAATACACATACACTCAAGACTAGATGGTCTGCCTTCATTATGTTTTCTAACACAGAAATATTATCAGGAAATGCAAAATCATGCACAGCTGTTACAACACGCACATACAAAAGTAGTGAAAAAACCTTTTGAAGTTTTCGCAGGTGTTCCAGTTTCTTCAATTTCACTTTCCGCCGTCCCATCCATATGGCTTTTGCCAGGAGCCTTCTGAAAAGCACTGACTTTGCTGCTTGATGTTTTTGACTGCTTTTGCAATAATTCTGGTGATATGTAAGACTGCTTAATATCATCCTCATCTGCTTCTTCCTCTGAACTGAATGGTGGAGTTCTACGCAAAAACATACAACCCGAGGACTTACTGGGTTTCAGTGACTGCATTGATATATACATATTTAAGCTTCCTTGTATTTTCCTTTCCAGTAAGGTGCATTTTTCTTATGTGAAAAAAACAGGAGCTCCCATAAATTCTAACTATCCATAAAACTATTTAAAAGAAATCATGCTGCTAAGTAAATTCAGGAAGTTATCACAAAATGAACTCTTCTATAGACATGATTATTTCCATCTATGCAACTATCTTTACAAAACAACAGACCAATATATAACAAGTCTTGCCAGGCAAACAAAGATAGGCTTTCATGGATCAGCAGGGAGAGAAAAAGTCAGGGTCAAGAAATCTGCACCACAGAAAGCCTGTTCTGATATTCTGTTAGATGAAAATAATTCAGGAATTTTTCAGTGCAGGAAATTACGAAGTAATGTGCCTGACATGAGTGGAATCTAGAATATTGTGTTTAATTTTGGTCGTAGTAAGAAAATATCAATAAACTGAAAAAATAAGGTCACCAAAGTGTTTAAATGCTTTTAACTGGCTCAGAAAAAGCATCTGAGAACAAAACTAAAGGAAGTGATACTACCCGATTTTATTGAATGTCCCTCTGTGGTTCACAATAAAGAATACATCTGCTGAAAGGAGAACATGCTATCTTCCAGGGATTATAACAACAGACTCAAATGGAATAATACCTGAAAACAAAATATGAAATAGGCAGTCCAGAAAGTGTTTGTAATTTCAGCTTAATAATAGCTTTTGTGTGGCAAGCATGTGAATATTCAGTCACCAAAAATGTTTTCTTCAAAAATACAATGGAACAAAACATACGTGACACTAGATGTCTTTCTGGAAACTCCATTTCCAAAAAGCTTCCTGGATCTAAAAATAACAAGACAAGTTATTTCAAGACTGACGGTCAACTAAGTAAGCACAAAGTTTATATAGGAGTAACGTAAATTCTTTGCTCAGTTCTTACAATATTAGCAGGAAATGTTCACATCAGTCTCAAAAACCCAAACCCATAGGATTGTTACCTGAGGTATGAGTACTATGAGAATAGCGTCTCTTACTTTGGTGTAGATGTATTCTCAGCGATGGCTGTTCTTTGTTCAGCTGGGCGGACAGCTGTTGAAGACCGTTTTACTGGTTTTTGTGGTGTGGCAGATGAGGAAATTCCCAATTGATGGAACTTCTGTTTATCTACAAGAGAAGTTATCGATCTCATTATTAGAAACAATGTTTAGTATCTTTTATATTTAATTTCTAAAATTAAAGATGTCTCTGCTGCAGATTATAGTTTTACAAAAAAGAAGAAAAAAAGTAATTTTTTTCTTCAAAGCAGTTCAGAGTTACCATGTATCTTGCCAATATAGGAGCTAAGATTTCTGCAGTTAAACACAATGTCAAGAACCCTTTAAAGGAAACTCTTTGGTTGGCCATAACTATATAGAATATTTATATGAAAAATTATGAAAGCAGCTATACAGAAATGTTGCTAAATAAAACCTTAAATAGCAGTTATAAAATGTAAGAGAATGAAAAAAAACCAAAAACATTTTAACCTTCTGAAGGAAGCTGAGGACAGGAAACAGGTCTATTACAAGATGATGATTTCTCTTCAACCCTAAAGCTAACTTGGCGTTCAAGATGCTCTCGAATTCGCTGAATGTCAGGCTCTTGCTTCAGTTTGCATTCTCTAGCAGATTCAATAGCACGCAAAATTTTATTTAAGCGATCATTTGGGATACCGCGAACACCCTAAGGAAACAAATTGTGTTGTAAACACAGGGGCTATGATTTCTGCGATTTCTATCCTACAGTCATATACACTCTTTTAAACTTCAAATATCACAAAGCTTGTAGAAAAATCACAAAAGTTGGTAACACTGCTCACAGGTGTAGCCATATGCTCCACAGCTGTAATTTGATGGACGTCCTCTCAGGTTAATGAATTACACTTATTTATAACACATCAAAATTTAGCTTTGGATTTTATAGGTTGAGGGTTGTGGTACAGGAGTGAAAGAGAATAGCAAAAAAGTGGAACAAAGATTACACCTCTTTTAAATAACTCAAAATAATCTTACTGCTTTAATTCCCAAGGATTCCAGCTTCTCCTCCAGGGCTTGCTCCAAAACAACTCGTAATTCTTTAGTTAAAGAAGGATCGGTCTTCAAAGCATTTATTAAATAGTGGTTACTTCTACCTGTTTTATGATCACCTTTCTCAATTTCTGAAATAAGAATGGAAAAATGCATTTAAGAGACATTTGAAAAATCCACAGTACACGAGACAATTAAAAACTACACTGAAGCATGCTTTTTTTAGAAACATCACAGACATACATGTGCACTGTTTGTCTACATGGAGTTGTATTCTTTTTAAAATCTTGGGCTAGCTTACAAAAGTCAGCTCACTTGGAATCTACACCTCAGCACCTCGTACTCACCATCACAAGTATCTTTTATTTTTCTTGTTACAGAACCACTGTAAAGATATATGCCTGAATATTTAGCAACAAAGATCTTCACTTTTAGAACTGTACTGGGAAACTTCTGATAAAGAAAGACTATCTTCTGATAATTAAGTTCTCTAAAAGTAGTATTTCAAATCAAAGCTGAACGCTAGCAGGAATTGGAACAGGAATATGACAAACTTGTTCTCAAGAAAAGCTTCAAGCAACATAATGTTCTCTGATAAAAAACACCTACTAAAATCAAATCTTTGGAAAGTTGTAACACTTTCGAAAGTCTTGGTAAAGACAAAACCTTAGTCTGAGGCAGACCATTTCACAGAATATACATGATGGATAATACTTATCTTCAAAACTCTTTCAAGGACAAAGTTCAGCGTTGTGTTTTCTTCTGTGCAGGTCTATGACATGGAATCATAGAATCATAGAATCATTGAGGTTGGAAAAGACCTCTAAGATCATTGAGTCCAACCGTCAACCCAACACCACCATGCCCACTAAACCATGTCCCTAAGCGCCCCATCTACTCGTCTTTTAAATACCTCCAGGGACGGGGACTCCACCACTTCCCTGGGCAGCCTGTTCCAATGTTTCACCACTCTTTCAGTAAAGAAATTTTTCCTTACATCCAATCTAAACCTCCCCTGCCGCAACTTGAGGCCATTTCCTCTCGTCCTATCACTCATACATACTTAAAAGCAGAGAAAGAAGTTTCTCTTTCTTTTCCTTGCTTTAAGTGTCAGTAATGACATGAACTCTTATGCAAGAAATAAAGAACCATCTAGACAGATTCTTCCATCTAAATTAAAGATTGACATTTAAGTTAGGCCGAAGTATTATAAGGTCATACAGGGGAGTAAAGCAGCAAAACATACCCATTTGGAACCTGCCTATAAAGTGTCTCTGGCAAGACAAAGTTTTACTGAATGCCACTTACACCAAGTGAAACAATAATCAGTGGGACCACGGTAGCTTCTTCTGTCTGGCAGTGGTCAGCAAAGCTGGCAAAGCATACATAAAGGGGTATACAACATCCCAGGAAAGCGTGCTGTAAACCACACTCCCAGCTTCACCCCCTGAAATAAAAGGTAAATCTTGGGCAGGAGTTTGTCTCTTTCCAGTATGCCTTACAGGGCAGCAGAGTCATTTGCTAGCCCACAGACAAGGACATAAATGAAGGAATAATTCCATATTGTGACTTTCAAATGTTTTCTTTCAAAACAAACGTGCCACTTTTCCTATTTTGAAACAATGATTGCTTAAAAAGTAGTTCCATTTAGTTTTCATTTTTCTTTAAGGGAAAGATGAGCACGCTGAAGAGGACCCAAAAAAGCCTCAAGATACACAAATGATATTTAGGTTGTTTTGAGGCAGTGGCTTCCGATGGACCTGGGAGAGAACTATAGATAATGAAAACTGAAAACGAGTCCAGCTACCATACTACGAGATCTGTGTTGAAGAGGACAGAATCTGGCTGAAATCTTAACTGGCTTTGGGAACTGTGTGGACAACTCAGTCCCTGACAGAGGTGGGATTAAAAGTAATTTGGCTGGGGAGCTGAGTCCTAGAAGAGGCAAACTACTGGTCCGTGTGGAAACATTGAGCTGTCAGACCATCCTCAAACAGGAAAAGGTGCATTATGCAGTATGAAATCTTCCCACAAAGCCAGACATGAGACATTTTAAAGCGGAAGGCTCCAAGGAGCCTTCTGAGAATCCTGTCCCTTTCAGATGTTAATCCTTACAATAAAATAGATCCATCTAAAATAATTTTAAAATTCATAATTACTACATACTAATATGGGTAACAAGACTATCCAGCATTATCCTAATTAATGACAATATTAATTCTTGCTAATTAACTCAAGCCAAATCCTCTTTGCTGGAGCCAACTATTTAAGGAACTGTTTTCTTATTCATTTTTGTTTTTTAAAAAAACCCTAAATACTAGATTTGAGAACTTTGGAGACAGGGGACCTTAAGTCTGGTCCACTGTCTCAGCTCCTACATAATCCTATGAAATAATCTGCCAAGTCAAGAATTTTCACACTCTCCCTTAGAAATGGCTGTCACTGAAAACAAAAAAATCTTGGTCTATCTTTTCAGACTGCATTCTTTCTTCCTCTCTTTTGTACTGCAGGCCATGCCTTCAGGCACAGCAGAAGAATCAAAGACAATCCATCAAGAGAGAAGATGGCAAGCAAGAGAAATAGCAGAAAGGACAGCAAAAATGCGAGCAGACTTTATTTCAGATTGTTCAGTCACTGGATTTTCCCTGGGGAAACCTCTCACTTACGCACAGATGTATTCAAACGACAATTTTGTTTTCGAAACAGCATCATTCCTTCAAAATTTAAACTCATTGGCTGCAAGGTTCAAGACTGATTTTGATTTTTGCACACAGTACAGATTATTACGCTATTCAGCTGTTTGGTGTTTCATCTAAAGTACTGTTAGCCTTCTTCAGGAGAAGAATACCATGCAGGATGAACCAATGCTTTATCTTCTGTCACTGTAAACGTGGCCTTCTCCAAGTTTTCCTCAGATGAAGCAGAAGAACAGCTGCCAACACTGGCCTACGTAATTTCATTCAGAATTGCACAACCCTGGCTGGAGCTGTGGCTGCTTAGAGGTAGACTTAACTTAGATTACTTGCAAAAGTATCTTTGGATGGTCTATGAAAGTAGGCAGCTTCAACCTTCAGCACCAACTTCCTTCTTCTATCTGAACTCTTTACCCTCTTACGCAGAGTTTGAAAAAGAAGTGAGCATACATTGCAATAGCGTCAGCACCAAAAAATTCCTAGTACGGGGGTATTCCCCATCAAACGTTTTTGCTCTGCTTAGCTCAAGTGCCTTTAGACATATGGAATATGCCTCCTTTAAAGAGTTAGCCAGCTTTCCATAAAAACATTGAACTTGGATAAGGAAATCATAATATTTACAAGCACCAATAGCAAACAGGAGACTGACACAAACAAGGAATGTTCCCACCCAAATCACATAAGCATACTCAAATACAATAAAAAAATACTGTAGGTATCAAATAATATTTACATTTTTATTTTCAAAAAACCACATGCCACTACATTTTGAGTTGAATCAACCATTACCTTTTTCCTCTTCTGAAAGCTCCTCTATGGGTTCCAGCATATGCACCAAGGGTGCCTGCTCTAATAACGAGGAAGAACAGGAACACCAGACAAACAGGACAGAAGAAGGTCAAGGTCCAGAGTGGGAAAGTTAGGCAAAAAAACACACCGATGTCAATTTTCCTGATTGCTGACAACCTGCTTAACAATCACAAACCCAATGCAACGTGGCTCTTCACTGCCTTGGTGGGACATTTTTGTAGAGGAGACCCTAATACAATAGTCACTTCAGGAGCGATTCAGTTGCCCAAACATGGGTGTCTAGTGTCATCTCAGATATATCAGAGTTTTAAGCCATCGGCATGGGGCTGGCTGATACATCACACAACTATAGAAAAACCCGTGCCCTTCTGGAATGGCACCCAGAGGCCAGGTGGGATGTTTTTAGGCATCTACAATGACAAGGCCACCTAGGATTAAGTAAATGAATCTTGTCATTCATTTCTCATAAGAAGCATTTTAATTTTTAAATTTATTTAAAAATATTATGTGCAATTTGATACTAAAAGTTTACAAAAGGCAAGTAAAATGGACATAGAAATCCTCAAAAAAAATATTGAAGAGATATGTTAACTCATTATACCAGAGATTTATTAAGTACTGAGTCCATACGTGCAGACATAGAGAAATTTTATATATATATATATAATTTCCAATAAAACCAATTTTAAAAAAATCTTCAATCACTCCAATATAGTGAGATCCAGTATTATCATGTGCTTTAAAGAACTCTTGAAATGTCCTCTGCTGAAAACAGCTTCCTAAACACATTGAAATTATCATTCCATAGGCTGTCAGGTACAATTTGCTTTATATAAATGAAGCCAGAGTACAGTTTATTTACAACTTTATAGACTTCAGATATAAGAGAAGCATGAAAATGCTTATATGTCAACTAATAAAAATTTAGATATTTACCTTCCTTAAATAAATTTATTTCAATGAAAACTAGAATTTTAGTTTTTTCTAGGTTTTATGATAAAAACAGAGAAACGTGCAAACTATACTTTCAGCATTCAACTACTGGCAGTATAGGAAAAAACAATTTATTGGCCAATATTTTGGGCCAACTTACATTTGCCCCAGCCTTCACAAGAAACCTTTGGCACTATAAATGGTTGTTCTGCTGTACGGGTAGAAGGGGAGGAAGTGAGGTTGCAGTAAAGATACCTGCTCTTCAGCACTTCTTATACAATTAGGTACAAACATGGATGCACTGTGATGGATAGTCACAATGAAATAAGCACTTGGCGCTAACTGGCACTTACTGTCACATCTCCAATATTCCCCATGTGAAGGGGACTAAAACTGGTGCTGTAAATGCTTGGGTATGGCTGCTGCTCTCTCCGTGCTTTCCATACTTGAGGTTCTATTCAGCCTCTCACCTGCTTTTCCAAGCAGGTTACAAGACTTAAGATCTGCTCCCATATAATCTGCACTAAATAAGAAGTTCTAAAAAAATGCTTCTTACACCATCACAAGATGCTAAGAAGATGCAAACATCAATGTATTTTATGGAAACACTTAAAAGCAAAACTCAGAGACGGATTGACAAATAGGCTTCTGGACTTTCAGTCTCTAAGGCTGTAAAATTTAGCAGTGGCCAGAGCATTCCTGGGCACTGGAATATGATCCTCCACACTACTGAACTCTTAAAGCTGTTCCTGGCACACCGTTGCCCTACACAAGCTAACATTCTCCAAAACAATGTTCAGGCACAGTTAGGGATAATTCCCAAAAGCCTACAAGTGAGCCTGTTGTGGAGGACAGAGCCGGAAGCACAGATGGGGAATGTTCTGGGGGGATTTAATTTAGCTGCACAGGCATTGAGGCCTCTGAGTTTCTTGGCTGGACCTACTAGACAGTTAGCCAGTTGCTGTGTAACTGGATTTAATCTATACTTATTTTACCTGTACTTTACTCAAATGCAATCTGCTTAAAGAAGCTGACTCGTCTCTGCACAAGCCCTTGTCAAGTAACTTAATTTAACAGGAAAAGCCCAGTCCCCAGAACTCAGACCTGAAAATAGTCTGCTGATCTGGCATAAAGGTACATGCTTCTCTTCCTCAGTATACTAGAAACAGAGGAAGTTAAAATCAGTAAAAGAATAGTTGCAAGAGCAAAACCAAAATGTATTACTTGCTATGTGTAATATTGTTGTTCACTGCATGACAACAGAGGTCGAATGCTAAGACACGGGGAGTGCAACATCTGGAAACACCAACTTCTTCAATGTAAGTGGGCCTTTTCTTTTTCTTTACTGCACTTATTCTAAGAGATATTTATTAAACAACATGTTGGAATCCAATGCAAGAAAAAGCAGCTTGGTCCAGCACCCCTCTGGTTTATAGACAGGTGTGGAGATCACCCCCCTAAGGACCCCTCTCCTTATGTTTACCAGAGATGTGCTGCTTCTAGCTGTCTGATCAGACCTCTCAGCTCTTACATCCTTGTAGTGCACATCCTTGAAATCAGCAGCATCTAAATTTTAGCAAGCTTATTTTTAGGAATCATTTAAGTCTGACTACTCAGCTAAACCTCAAATCTGTACAAAGCAGTCTTTGCTAACTTCATATCTAAAACAATCCTGCTGATGCAGACTGAATTCCAAACTACCCTGAATTATTGTAACCTTCTCTAGTTCATCAGACCTTTTTGCCCAAAATGTCACCAAGCCACAATCCAATGTTAGCCTTAAATAAGTAATCACCACAACTTCTGACTTAAGTAGAGCCAGTTACCTTCCTGTCAATTATCAGCCCTAAATCTAGTTCAGCTGACCCTAGTGGACGCTGCTCTACATCAACATCTTCAACATCAGACCTTGCTGGCCAGGATCTTACTCCTAGCTTTCATCCCAGCCTGAATGTTGAACCTAGACAGACTACTATCTTCCCTTTTGGGTATATCTAGGTATAAATTACCTGCTCCTGGTCACTTCTCTGTTCCCCATTCTAAATGAACACCAAAACTGTGTCCTTGCCTTACTGGAAGTAGATCCCAGGAGGCTGAAGCAAGGCAGGAGGCATGCTGTGGTCCAGCAGATCACCTGCTTTGGACTACCAGAGTACTGGTAGAACTGGAGATTACATCAGTCTTGCAGTTCAGATGCAACCTCAATTATACTTTGTTCATTGACACAACTTGAACCGTGGCTCTCATCTCCACCCCTTTCTTGACTATGAAATCGAGATAAATTTCAACCTTATACTTAAACCTATTCAGTGAGGCTCTGCGGCTGCTACCTTGCTTAACTGATCCTTCTTAACTCAACCATAACTCTCATTTGCCAATCGATGTCTGCCTAAGCCTAAACCTAACCCTAACCCAAGTTCAGTGATCCCTGTAAAACCTCGGCTCAGCAATAATCAGGTGTCTCTGGGTGATACCAGCCCTTTGCAGACCCTGCCATAAATCAGCTTCTTATGCTGGCATGAACCACCTTAACTCCAAACCTAATTCATTCGGTCCTCCCCAACAGTCCCACACTTGACCCTAACCAAACATTGCTAAATCCTATACCTAGCCCAGTGGCAAATTCTGGACACATCCTCACTGTATGTCATCAGCCAGCCTCAGTCCAAAACCTAACCCTAGCTTTATTCTCACAAGAACAGTTCCTGTCAGCCTCAGGCTTGAACCTAGCTAAATAGCAGCTACCAACACCAGTCTTAACGAAGGCTGGTCATATTCGTATCTCACTAGCCTGAATCCAGCCATATTAATACTAGCCATCATTAAGGCCAGCAACCTTAAGATGACCTCCACAATGATGTGTGTGTCATCCCACATCTTCCAGAATATCTTTTCTGCCAGCTAATATGTGTGGAGAGATAGATGAGATGTATCAAAAGTACAGGTTGCCTTAATTTCTTCAGTGGATCATTATACTACTGAAAAATTATGTGCCTGGCATACTTTGACAAATCATTAAATATCAGTTTTAAATAATATTTGAAGACAATTTCTATGCAGGTGGAATAGGAAAATATATCTAACAATAATGAAGAATTCAGGCTGTGTATATTCCAAGCTTATCATAAATTATTTGTCTGTTCTTATTTACTAGTTAAAAAAAAAACCCCAATATTCTGACAGTACTATTGGAAAAGCAGTCTTCTGGCCAATATTTAAAGGAGAAATCCTGTCTATTTACTCTGAAATATGAAATGCTAAAGTACTTTTAGCCTGAACAGAAGTGTTACAATTATCTATAGTGGAGTATCACCTACAGTAAGCACTTTGCACTTGCAGTATGAAAACCAAGGATGAAACGTAAAACTGGTGTGCTGCAAATTGCTGCACTTCCTAAAGATGTAAGGAATGTAAGCCATGGCTATAGTCATTATCTACTCCTTTAATTTATACTCAAATTTCACATCTGAAGAGCTGCCAGACTCAATCTGTGATACCTGTAATTTTGACCGTCATCTTTGAATCAATGCACTTCATATAGTTTTCTCCTAACTAATCAACGGGAAGCCAAATACTGCACATAAGCAGCATAAATATTAATTTTAAACCAATATTCTTAAATATGATAAATTTTTGACACTTACCTGAGGCCTCTAAGTTAGGAGCCTAGTCATCTCAGACTCCTTCTACAGTCAACGAAGAGACACAGGCAACTTCAAAGAGCAATTCAGATCTTAGTTCAGCTGAACCAAACTCTGAAGGTGCCCCTTTTCTCTGTTAACTGTCTAGGAAGACTACTTTGACTAAATATTCCTCAGATGCTCCAGTTATGTCCCTAACGACAGCTGGGCCTTAGTCCGCACCAAGTTTGAAGACTGAGTCATAGGTTTTAATGGACAATCTAATTAATATCTTTGCTTTTTAACTACTGTCTTCAATTCCACCTACTATTATTAACCTAACAAAGATTAAATATTGAACAAGTATCAACATTTCAAGAGTAATATAGGAGCCAAAGTCTGATTTTAAAATATGATTTAAAAAAATCATAATTAATCCATTGCCTTTTTGTGAGACTTAAGTAATCTTTGAAGATAAGACTTAAGTTATATCTGCACAAAACCCTACAGCTAGCTCAGAAACCGAGAAAAGAATGGTCAGCCAGGATGGCATTCAAGGCAGACTATTAGCTCTCCCAAGAAATCAGGAACATGAACACAAAAGCACCAGGCTAACACAGTTATTCCACGACTTTACACCTAAGATACCTCATTTGTAATTTGGGTATCTTTTCATAGCGCAGATTTAAGATGTGCAGAACTGATCTTAGGATGCAAAAGCTTCCAGGCAACTTTGAAAAGTGTACTTAAGTTCACATAAGAGAGCCTTTTCCAGAATTAATTTTCTTTCAAACAGAAAAAAAGAAAGAAAAGGAAGATATTCTATATGCAGGCAATCGTTTGGTAAGAAAACTATAGCTCTTGTGATTTCAGAGATGCTCTGAGCTAAATAAATTTGTGGACAGAAGTTGCCAACAAGCACTTTCATTTTCATAATGGCACGAGATGCAGCCATGATGTCTTAATCCAGTATGTAAGTCAATCCCTTGAAGAGCCATCAAAATTTTGGGAAAGACACTGTAATTTCTGCTAACCTTTATATCCAGAAATTAGGTAGGGTAAGTTTAAAAAAAGTCCAGAAGGGAAGAAAGGGGACAGACAGAGAGACCTGCAGAGATAAATAAAATAATAATCAGCAAAGGAATTTGAAGGAAACACCTTCTTTGAAGTTTCATAATAAACTGATAGTGAATCTTTTGTATATCAATGGCAGGAACAGCCTTTTCTATCTTGAGAAGTTTCATAAGGTGTCACAAACTTCGTATTTGGAGCAGCAAGAAATCAGGAAAGATCTGAATGAGCTGATATAAATTGTCAGAGTACAGAAAATACTAATGTTCACAGAACTGTTTTCCTCCTCAGTCCAAATGAAAGTAAATGCACTAAGAAAGCAATGCTTGACAAGCTTGGTGCCTAAGCCCTTAGCAGCAATATTCTTCATAAAACCCGTTCCTTAAATTCAGGGCAATAGCTAAGCTACTTGCTGTGAGATCTCTTAGCTAGAACCAGCGCTACTGTGTTGGTGCAATGAAGCTGGTTTGAATGCAAAATAATTGGATTATTTAAAACACTATTATTAATAATCTATATTTAATATATTATTACTTTTCTCCACACAACAACATTTCATCTGTATAGTTTCACTCAAAAAGCTTCTAGCAATGAACAGCTACCTTGCATAGGTTAGTAAGAAATCTCTGTAATATTAAAATAATTTTATCATATAATAAAAATCTTTTCCTTAGTTTAATAATTCTTGACACAACAAATATTTTGAAATCAACACTTTGTATCCATCAGTTTTTCATTCCTCATCAAGTTATCTAAAGCTTCTGTTGCATACTGCTCCTTCTCCCCATTTGCCTTTTCAGAACTTTTTGAATTTGTTGAAAAAGAAAAATTCTTTACATTTTTCTTAGACAAATTCCATTTCCTCTCCCCTTGACAGGTTTTAAAACTAAGAGAAATAATAATTTAAAAATTATTATTTAATTATAGTTTTATAACTCAAATAATTTATAAAATGGTTTTAACTTTTAAACATTTTACTTGCTCAAAGTTAATTTTTCCTATTGCTTTCCTACTTGAAATGAAAGTAAAGAATTAATTGATTGCAGAATATTGGTATGGTAACAATACTCTCCATTACTTTGCATACTGAGAAAAAAGTGAAAACTATTTTCACAAAGCACCAAACAATATAAATGGAGGTTCATCGCTTCCCCCCACTACTAAACAATATCACAATGCCACAAGTTAAAATAACTAAATAATGATCCATATGTAACTACAGATATACTCTGGAAGAACTATCTAGACGGGATGACTGACTATTTTGATCATGTTTTCTGTATTTTCCCGCCGTGACATTTGAAGTCACACGAAAAATACACTTTCAAGACTTAAAAACAAACATCTCCACATTTTTCTCTGTACAAATTCCATTATATGCATATAGCTATCCAGTACATGCATATACCAGAAAAGCAGCATATTTTCTAGAAGAAAACATAATTTTGTTTCCTCAATTAGTTTCATTTATCTTAAAGTGCTCCGATACTATACATGTGCTAGGAAATATTCTCAAATTATTTTATTTTCTTTTTCATTTATTCTTTTCAATAGTGCATCTTGACAATTACTTCATGGGAATTCTCAGTGCTGACATACAGCAAAGCAATTCAAATTACGTTCTTTCAATATAACTACTCTTACAGCTATGATTTGACAAGCAACACATTTGAGAAGAGAGAGTCTTAGATTTGAAAGTATGGGATCTGGACCTATCAAAAAAAACTTACCATGCATCACTGGTAGGCTTGGTTTAGATTCTTCAAGGTGCTCTACAGTAGTGTTCACTAAAATAGCATAAGAGTAAAAAATAATGTAAATGCATTATAGTAAACAATAACAGACAAATACAGATTCATAAATGTAGCAATATTTAATCATATTTATAAATTATGCAAATTCTGGCTTTAATGGGGGAAAAATAAACAAACAGTTTACAAAGTAAAAATTCACTTCACAACATAAAAGTACATCTCTAGATATGCTTAACATTTTTAATACTTCTAGAACCAGGAAAAGAAACTAGTAACTAAATTGTCACTGAACTGGAATGTGAACCTGCACTAGTCAGATCATCTCTTTGGTCATGTCTGCATGCTGTCTTTGTGTCCCAGGGAAGAAGCCTTGGCCCAAAGCTACTTAGTCAAGTCTAGCCTGATCAACACTGGTATTCCCGGAAGAGGATCTGCTGCATCCACACTTCATATCAATTAGCGCAAGCCCTAGCTATATAATTTATGGAATGTAGCCTTGGAGTGATTTATCACATCAATTCTACATTCCTCAGATCAGCTTGGGGCCTAAGAGCAAATTTGCTTGTGTGCCATGGTCTCATACTTGTCTGTCCTTCAGTGTGGCTGAATACGACCAGCTCCAGTTGAGAAGCCATACAGCCATATTATTACTATGCTCTCCTCAAACTAACCTACTCCCTGCTGTTAGATTCAGTTCAAGCCAATGTCCTGCTAATAAAGCAAGATGGTTTCCAAACTGGGATTAGAATTAATCCAGCTGTCATCATCTATTGCAATAAACCTATTACAAGTCACTGCAACTGCGGCATCAACTACATGGGTGTTTGTGGTGCAGGACTACATCCTCAAACACTATTATTATCAGGTTTGGTATTTGTAATGGACTTCAGATGTTAAAGCATTGCAATGACAAAAATAGCAGAGTTCTTAAAATTCTTTGAACAGCTGTATCTTAACTGACAAATTAATCAATTTTGTCTACTCTTTCAGTATTTTCCCATTTGTGAGTTCTGCAGCCTATGGACAGTCAAGCATGAAAAAGCAATTAAAATTACACTTCATAAAGCAAAGCCAAAAGTTGTTTACATAATACAAAACAGAGTTGTTATATTTCACATGTCTTCACTACCCAAGTGATCAACTTTGTACATTAGAAGTTCTTACAGCAGCAGAACATGAACTTTGAAAATCATGGCATGGAAACAGGTAGGTAGCCTGTGAAACACAAATAAATTGCCACCACTGATTTGATTTCAACATTTAGTTAGTAAAGTTGATGCCTGTATTTTTTAATAAATTGTAACATTTGTTTCAGCCAAGCTGCTGAAATCAGAAACAAAATCTGCTTTTTCTTACAGTTTGTACTTACCATCATATGGTCTGATGCTTGCAACTGATCTCGTGGACAATTCTTTTATCTAAAAGAGAAAAGACGGATATATGAATAGTTACAAATGTAAATGAACAATATCTAGAAATGAACATTTAGTACAAAATACCTAGTTTCGGTACTATTCCATAACAGAAACTATTGTTTATGATTTGGGGAGAAAAATACTACTTTTGTGGAACTCTGTTCTACTGCCTAATGCATATTTCATTCATGCTTAATGAATGCTGAAGACTTACTTCTGTTTGTTGTCTTATGTGAACTCATGCTTTGTATACTCTGTTATTACAAGCTATAAAGTGAAATGAGAGTGGGCTTATGGGCCACTTCAGCACTTACAGTTTCAATACTTTCTGCTTCAGCAATTCATGTTCAATTTTGCAAGTCTAGCTCCACTCCAGGGAAACACTTAATTACACATCAGTTTTAAATATACAAACAGTTTTCCTGTCTGCTGTACAGTTTTGTCTATTTGAGACCCAAGACATGCACTGAACAAAACTGAGAGTGTAGAGGAAACAAGCTGGCTGCAGTTCGATGTAAAGAAAAAAGGAAACTTTTGAATCCCATATCATTAAAACAATGTTCTGCACTCCAATTCCCAAAACAGAAGGTAAACCCAAACCATATAGACACACACTCAATGTCAGCTGGAGCTGGCACAAGATACTGGACCCTGGTCCTCTTTTATTTATCCATTTGGATATAGCCAGTAGTGCCTCATTTCATTGTCCATTCTGTTTGGATTCTACAAAAGTGTTAGCTATTTCTCAAGCCCTTCCAGTTTCCAGGTATTGAGAATGTAGGTCTTCACAATTGTATTTCACAAACACCAAACTCAGATCCCTCTGAACCTATTTTACATGGGTGGTCATACTGTTTTGTTTTAAAAGGTCACTTTACTGAAAGTAATATGTCTAGGATTAAGTCCTCTATTGCTCCAGCTATCAAATTCGTTAAGGTGGAGCTGTAAAAGCTATTATTTGTCTTACCAATTCTTTAAGCACTTAAGTATAGGTTTAACATTAATCTCAAGAAAAATGTGTAAAATCAGATGTTGATTTGTAAAGAACGCACCATCTAATAGAGTAATAGGTTGTAAGGACCGCATAATTATGCTATAGTCTAAACTCCAGACCACCCAGATCTTCACCTACTTATCACCTCAAAAAATCTATAGTTATGTTTGAACAAAAGCGTATTTTTAAGAAAAAACAATTCATTTCCAAACGAATAATTTCATAGAATCATAGACTATCTAAAGTTGGAAGGGACCCATAAGGATCATCGAGTCCAACTCCCTGCTCCTCGCAGGACTACCTAAAACTAAACCATATGACTAAGAGCATCGTCCAGACAGTCCTTGAACTCTGACAGGCTTGGTGCCATGACCACTTCCCTGGGGAGCCTGTTCCAGCGACCGACCACCCTCTCAGTGAAGAACCTTTTCCTAATGTCCAATCTGAACTTCCCCTGACACAGCTTCATTCCATTCCCTTGTGTCCTGTCGCTGGTCACCAGAGAGAGGAGATCAGCACCTCCTCCCTCTGCTGCGCCCCTTGAGGAAGTTTTAGCCTGCGATGAGGTCACCCCTCAGCCTTCTCTTCTCCAAGCTGAACAAGCCAAGTGACCTCAG